CATCTTAACCCACGAATAAGGACGGATATATATTTTGAACAAACAGAAATTTTTTTGTTTGGCGCTATCTTGGGAAATCTGAATCACGTTGAGCTATGGTCTTCTTGCAGCTGCTTTGCGACGTCCGTTGATCTTATCTCTGTACCTCCGAAACATGGAGGAGAATGAAAATTTTTTGTGATAGGGGCCGGGCCGGGAAGGCTGCCTACGTATCTCACAAGGAGAATTCAGGCCCAACGTAGTTTGGATTTTAGGATGAAAATTTTCATTCATTCTTTCATTGTGATTACAAGGGAATTGAAAAACAACATTGAAATTTCTAGAAGAAAACATTTGGCGATTTCCTGTCTTGTGGCTGCGTCATTCCTTTCCTTTCAGACAGTCGGAAATGGAGGCTTGTAGACGATTTCTTCTTCATCATCCTCCTCAATCATTTCATGGCCGGGGCCACTGTTATCTGCTCCCTGATCACGGGCGAGGTATTTTCCTCCTTTAAGGTTGCTATGGGTCGCCAATTCCTCGTCGAGCGCCGCGCTTCTGGCCAACAATACAGTAGTCTCGATATCTATCTTCGCCTCTCTCGCCTTTCCTTCGTGTATCTCCAAACGAAGCAAGTTCAACCTTTTCCTTAGGCTTTCGGTTTCCATCTCAACCTCCTTCTTTCTCTTTATCTGCGACGCCAGATCTTCATCCAAGGTCGTGACCGCAGCTTTGTAGATCGCCGTGATCATGTCTACTTTGAGCCCTTCCTCCTTAACCTTCTGAATCTCTCGAGTGACTCGCTCGATCTTTCTTCGCAATTCCTCCTCAGTGAGCTCCGTCCGGACGTTCTTGCCTTTGTCCATAGAGGTGATTCGACTTTCCTGAGATGATAGAGCGGTATTTAGGATTTATGGTATGGATTTTGTGTGAGAAACTTGAGACTTGGGACTTTTGGTCGGACATTTGTAATGTTGGCTTCTGTATACTCTGTAGGATTTTGGCTAGGAGTGGGTTTACGATGTCCTCAATCAAAGCAACATAACACATAAACATTTCAACAAATATATCGTGTCCTAAACATGCATGTGACCCTTTTTTGCCAAGGGTAGGCCTAGCGATCTGAAGGATGTATTGCGCCATTTAACAAGTAATTGTACCCCCGAAACAAATTTCACTAGATATCACAGCATTCATTACATGATTAAAATCAAACGGTATACATCTTAAGAAGGTGATGTAGTGCAAATACATATATAAAATCAATCCCACGCAGGGGAGTCAAAGGGTCGATGATCCAGCTCCTCTTCTGGCCTTCTCCACTTCTTCTTGGATAATGCACTTGCTGGTGAACACGTATGGCTCAGCGAACGCAGCTTTGGAAGATGTTGGTACAACTTGTAAGGTGTTCATCTGCTCATCCAGAATAGTGTCCAAACGCACCAGACAAGCCCTTGTGTCAGCTAATTCTTGTGACGTCACAGCCAAAGCCCTCTGATTTTCCAATTCCCGAAGCTGGTACTCTAGCTCCTTTTGTTGAAATTCTTGCTCCCTCCGGTCCCACTCTCGCTGAAAATGGTACGCGTGAATCTGAAGCCTTGTCTCCGCGCCTTCGATTTTCCGACCTATGCGTGGTGTTGGATCTACTACACCATGCAAATCATTATGCAACCATGTCTTATATTCGTCAACATACCCAACTCCATATCTGTCTTCGGTAACCTCCCACTTCATGTTGACACGTCCGGCCCATTCCTGGAGGATAATTTTAGCGAATGGTATTTTGTCCTTCTCGTTGTAATCGACAATGAAAGAGCTGGCATCTCCTTGGACGGGTATGATTTGGACTTTCCCAAACTGTCGCATTACTCTCGTCGGGTTGTAAGGACGCAATCCTCTGATGCCGGGAAGGACTAAAAATGGCAGTTTGGCCCCTTGGGCTGCTATCATCTGAGACTTGAAGCTCGGTAATACCCATTGTATGTCTCCTTCTTTCAAGTCATAAAACACCCTTGCCCACGCATCCCTGGTGGTGTGAATTGGAAATTTACGGATACTCAAGTAGAACTCGTAATTATCGAGAGGACTTGTTTGACTTGGTTCGGCCAACTCCTGTGGCTGGGGGTTGTCTCTTTTGCATAGATGTTCCGTCAACCACCATTGAAGTAAGATGTTGCAACCTTGGAAAAACGGGAAACCATTCTTGCACAGGCTCAAAGATC